TTCATTTGTGCATTGTGAGATGGTTACCTGCTAACAATGCTGGCCTCCATGAGTCTCCCTGGCAGTCAAATCATGTAAAATATGAGATTTTGCACAATTGCACTGGCTGAAGAGCTGACTGACCAAGCATATATTGTATAAATAGCATTGTCTGGAATCGTTGCCTCTTTCGGAGAAAATCTGCCCCTACAGTGACTCTGGCAGTAAAACGTGCCCTTTCGGTAATGAAACACAAATTTGAAGTCTGCAGACATCATCTGGATGGAACTACAGAGCGTGTGGGATGGGCCTTGTCACAGATTATGTGTTCAATTAAAAAACATAGAGCCTCAGGGAAGAACATGAGATCATCCGTGCCATATAGATTCGGTGATCATCAGTTGACTCCATGAGTTCCAGTTCCCATCATTCACATTATGGAGCACTTTAAGCGTCACCATACATCTAACTGTCATTTGCTGTCCATTGCTAAATTACAAGTTGAAATTCAACACTCACCAGCTCAGACCGGGTATTTGTTTAAGCTGTTTTCTTGACTAATTATGAATCGGGTTATCACAAACACTATCTGATTCTTACAGCTATTAGGTTTGCTCATCGAATGTGTATTGTTCATTAAAAAAGGCTATACTTCAGACTTTGGTTTCCCAACTGGACTGGAATTGCGCTAGAATGCCTAAAGGTGTTTTCACTAAGCAAAGTTTGTATTAATTGCACATAATGCAGGTGTTTTCACATAAAAGATAGACCTTTAGACCTCTTTTGAAGGTTTGGCTTCTTTTTTTCCAGTACTGTACTGTAAATTTAGCGTCAGCGAATGTAAATGAATTGTATTTTTGGATTGAATAGACAATAACAGGAGTAGCAAATATGAACAAAATTGACTGATTGACTTGTATGAAATAGCTTGTGTGATCTGTAAGAAATGTATTTAACCAAAAAATCTTTAAAATGAGGAAACGGCACACAGTAGGAGGCGTACTGTGGAACTGTATATTAGTTATTAGTTATAATGGACTCTTGCATTCTGTAATAGCTTAGAGTGAGATAATATAATGATTACTTTGTAATGTCCTTTCCTTGGCAGCTTGGCAGCACAGCATATCCTGCACTCATGAATCCAACATCATTCTTCCTGCATCACTCTCTGTCTCCTTTCCTTTATCTTTCCAATTCTCTCCATCTCTCTCCAACATAGTTTATGTACTGATGCTCATTATGACTGTTGTTATGACAGCCTCCCTTGCACTTACACACAGCCACAGCAGTTATTCTGGTGATTTACAACCTCCTCCTCCCACAGAAGGAGGAGAGAGGCACACTATAGCTGTCTTCAACAACAGCTTTATGCTCACTGTAAACTAGCCACAGTGGCACCTCCACAGAGTTCGTCCCACAAAGCAAACCACAACTTTCTCAAGTATATAGGCCTGCAATAATAGGCTCTCAGGGATGACAATGGAAACATTCACTCTTTGATAATCACGCCCTACGTTGCATAGTAGCCTACGTTCTTACTCCATCATGGAGTAAGAACGTCAGCTTTTTTTTATCGAACCTCTCGCGGCTACTTAAGAGTACTTCAGATTCAAAACGTGGACAATGTGGTGAGGAGAGCTGTGCATGTGCCGGAATGGCTGATGGATTTTTCAAATGATGCATATTATAAGTGCTGGGGCTGGCAAGAGATATAATATACAACATCATGATTCTTGTTATCTAATCCCTACTGTTAACATATTGCAAAGGACATATTGCAATATTACATATTGCATCCACAGTGCCAGGCGGCAAACACAGCTGCATTGTTTGCTTCTATATTGTAATCTCTGAAGCACAAGAAACACACACACACACACACACACACACACATATATATAAATAAATGTTCTATCTATAGAAAAGATGTACTGTGTATTGAGACAGACTGCAGAGTTCTAACAAGATGAGCCGCAGCGATTCATTTATTAATCGATTCGATGTCAGCTATTACTGGGTTTGAGTAACTTTTCAAAGGAAAAAGTAAATGTAAATTCTTTGATTCCAGCTTCTTAAATCTGAATATTTTCTGGTTTCTTTGCTCTTCTATGATAGTAAACTGAACATCTTTGAGTTTTGGACAAAACTATAAATTTGAGGATGTCATCTTGAGCTTTGGGAGATACTGATCTCAACATTCATTTTCTGACATTTTTAAAGACCAAACAACTAATTGATTAATGAAGAAAACAATCATGAGATCAATACAATTTGAAATGTATAAACAAAAAATATGCAAACTAAAAACTTAAATAAATGTACACACGATATTGTATGAAACATCAGAGAGGCATAATGTGTGCAGGCCCACAAGATAGAAACATAGAGAAGCCTCTCTGATGTTTCATACATCACAGTAAACCCGCCTGCTTGATGTTGTGTATTGATGAGTGCATCGATGGTAGTTAAGGAGGACGACATGGCAACAAGCGTCTCTTCTACCACATGAACTGCGGTGCACAGCCTGCCAGAATGAGTGTGAGCTGTTACATAACCACCGACCAGGGATGGAAGTGTTGCGAGGGCAGCACGTGCAGCCAAAGACCCGTTGGTGGAAGTGTAAAGCAACCAAGATATCAGACCTCTACAGTTATATAGTCTGTAAGGAAGACAAATACAAGATTATTCTGCTATGAAATTCCCATTAATCCCATTCAGTTTTTCCAGCCTGGATTAACTGAATTAGGTCTATTCCCATTACAAGTCCATTTACACTGTTGAACGCCAGAAATGCCACTAGACTATTTATGTCTTTGTGGCATGACTTATGTCTATGAAAGAACTAAATTTTCAAACTCATGGTTGTCAGCACCCCAAGCCAAATAAGGTACGAACAACAACATAACAAAAGCTATTTGTCAAACAAGGGCTTCACTGAGAAAACCTGCCCCCGTTTCCCTGACTCCATCCAGTCAATATCCAAGCCTCCAGTTCCCAAGGTGCTGTCGGATGTCAGATCTGTAGCCGACGGGCATATTCAAAAATGCATGTTCAGCCTCTTTGCCAGGAAGTGGATGTGCCAGTCATGACAAAAAGTTCCCTGAGACAGCAAGTTTATTTCACTTAGTTTTTCATGGATGATGGGTAGGCTTCGTACTTCAGTGAAATACACAAGCATCTGACTGCTGGCTTGGCTGTTGTAGCGCGTCCTAGATTTAGCGTCATGGAATTTAACTGCAAGTTATCAAACTCCCTCTATTTGTTCATGAATTATTAACCTCTTGTATGTGTTTCAGGTTTTGAGTGTTTCATCATAACTAGAGAACATATATCCTTGTACAGTCCCAACAGCCTGCATTTTAGAACAATCATCTCTATGAATGCTTTGAATATGAACTTTTGAAGTACAGTAATTATACTGGCCTGTATATGAGGTTTTCTTTTGTACACAAACAGTTAAAAATATGTGTGTTTCTCACCACAATGCTTTGTGTGTAGGGATGTATGTGCAAACCTACTTGGCAATAAACTATTTTTTTTATACTTTTAAACCTGCATCATTTACATGAATAATTGCTATTTAGCCATCTTCCTTTTCTCTACTTTTTGCTGGCGCCGTGGTACATTTGTTGCCGGATCACTGCCAACAACTGCTGATCAGCAAACTGCACAAACCCATAACAGGAATGTGTATTGCATTACCCGCATGAACATGTATATTTGCAACCTTGTGCAAGTGCTTGTACAGCATGAGGTACAAATACTACAGAAAACACAAAAAGCATCGCTCTATAGCACAACTAGTGGTAAATGTGACCGATAAGTGTCTAAATAAAATAAATCTGCACAAGCTTGCCTCAGTAACATTGTAGCACAGATAGTCTTCTTCTTCATCGTATCCATGCATGAGGAAGGCAAACATGCATATCATGCCCAACACACTTTGATGTCTGACTTTGCTATGTAAAGCAGACATGTGCTCTCTGCTTGACTTGTGATGTGATGCGAGGCGATGGTCTACCGTTCTGATTGTGGGAGGAAAAGCAGAATAATATGGGTGAATATGTTATGCAAGTACAACATGGTGAGCTCATTTAGCTATACTTAATCCCAGAAAGACAGCATCTGTCAAAGCAAATAGAGCATATAGGAGATATTTAGTAGAACATATTTTTTGAGGTTGCTTGGGGGTTGTTTTCATTTGTCTGGAACATGTGGTCTCTTACACATTCTCACACCAATGCATCAAATATCGTGGTTAAAGTGTGGTTGACGTTAACTTCGCCAACTCGACTAATGACTCACACGAGGATGACGTGACTAGCGAGTGACAAACAAGTCATGTGACCAACAACTGATGTGACAAAATTTCAAGAGAACTTTTATTTTTAAACAGCGGACTCCTGGACGTAAGTGTGTTTGTTTGACCCTTCCACCACCATCCCTCACGACGGCACTGTTTGGACTATCCTCATTTTACACTGAGCGTCGTATAAAAATGCTAAACGGGCGGCGATGTCAGACTCCGGGGAGCACTGACCAAGCTGCGTAATTTGACGCATTTTGAGTAAGAACGGTTTGCTATGTGTGTCACATCCACAAATATAACAAGCAAGCCACAAACATATTTTTATCATATATTAACAGACCCAAAATCTCTCTCTCTCTCTCTCTCTCTCTCTCACACAAGCGCAAACCCAAACCATCTGTCTCTCTTCCCCTCTCTGACACGTACGTGCTCTTTCACACTGTCTGTCTAAACCTCATGTTTCTATGAAAAGAAGGAATTCCCCATTGCCTTTTACTGAGAGTTGTTTGGCCTGTACTCCTAATGTTCCATTTGCTTTTTAGTGAACTTCATCCAATATTGAAGCCTAGTCTGGTCTAATCTGAGTGTTTGTAGTACAGAGCAGCTGTGTAAAATGGTCACTTCTTGGAATAACCGTGTCTTCTCTCTCTTTTCTCTCCATTTCTCACCCGGCCGCTCCCCCCCTGTCCTCCTCCTCTCTGTGCACTTTTAGGACTACACACTGACGATGTACTTTCAGCAGGCCTGGCGAGACAAACGGCTGTCCTACTCTGAGATCCCCCTCAACCTGACCTTAGATAACCGGGTGGCTGACCAGCTCTGGGTCCCCGACACCTACTTCCTCAATGACAAGAAATCGTTTGTCCACGGTGTCACAGTGAAAAATAGAATGATCCGACTGCACCCGGATGGTACCGTACTGTACGGTCTAAGGTGAGATCTAATCTCTGAGAGTACAATTTTTTGACTACACAACAAGAACAAAGTGTTAGATGTTTACATTTGCAAATAAAGACATAAATACGTAATATCTCCCAAATGCTGGATGAACATGGCACCAGATACAATAATAGAATGATAAACTATACACTAAAAATTGTAGTAATAGTAAACAGTAATTTCTACTTCATGTTGTCAGACATTTCCCATTTTAATATTTTGTCAATGTACTTTTTTTTTCTTTTTTTTTTTATCAAACAACCTGGGAGAAAGAAAGACAAAAAAAAGAAAAAAGAAATTCCACCACCTTTAACACAATAATGTGTCAATGATTGCTGCATCAGTCTCAGTCAGTAATTAGCTCATTAGAGCCAGATGAAGAAAACTACTGGTGTGAGGTGCAATATGGCCCCTGAGCAAAATTAGAATGTTGATGTGGTGACCTACTTGAATCCTCATTATCTGGACATGTGCACATCACCAACTAAAGGCTTCTGTAACACTAAATTGAGCCCTTTTACAAGGCATCTGCATAATTTGCACCACCACCAAAAGTATAAAGCATATATAAAGGTTTACTTTCTGTCTTGTTTTTGCTAAAATATATATTTGAATATATATATATATATATTTTTTTTTTTTTTTTGCTCTCTTATTTATATTTCATGTGTTATCCTCAGAAAAAGGTAATTAGAACCTGACAGAGAGAAAGTGAGGCTATATGTTGTCTTCATGATTATGTCCTCTGTCTATGCATTAACCAGTTGGAATGCTTCTCCAGATAGCCAGATAGAGAACTTATATTATAGAATCAGTCAAATGTGTACATTTTAAACTTTTATTTGCATAAAGAAGTAACTTCATCGTTGTATCATAGGTGAGCGGGCAAACTGACTAAAAGCCATACAGCAGCCTGCTATACAAGGGCTGTAGACTTTGAACAACAACTCCTATTAGCTCTTATGTTGAAGCATGGCCTACTGAAATAATGACCAAACCAACAGTGCATTACTACTACATATTGTCAGTTTGCAAGACACATAAAAACACATTAGATAGCTTAAAAACCTTACTGCAAATGTTCTATTCGTGAGAAGTTGACATGGTCCTTGCTCCTCATTATTACTGATAATAAAACACTGTCTGGCCTTGGCTTGTGAGCATTACAGCTTCCAGCACAAGCTTTTTTTCTTTTCTCTCTCCGTTCCCCTGTCATTGTTCAATCACATGTACCGACATGCCCCTCCAGAGGCTAAGAGGAAAAGGAACATTTTGAATATTCCCTTATAGGCCTCTTTTCCTCCTTTTCATCATGAAAAGCTATTAACATTAAATTGACCACTGACATTATTTTTGACCGCAAAATTGGATCTGTAATTAGGATTTTAGTTAGAATGAAATCTTGTCAGATGATTGAAACATCCATTTATCTTTGTCATGTCTCCTACCAGAGAACAATTGAAGAGCATATGGTTGTAATGTTTTACAATCATCTTAAACTTATTGGGATGAATGAGTTACTGAGATGTCTGTGTTTGTTGAATACTACTTTTACAAAACACAAGGTTTGATCTTTTCACTGTAAACATTCCTCTCGGAGGCCACTTAAGAAACTATTCTGAATATTGCCCCAAGCTGAGACTTTTGCATGTTTGACATGTTAATGACACATCCCATCTGTTTTCCAGTTGCCAAAAACAAAACCCCAATAGTACAATATAGATTGATTGACTTATTCCACTGAGTTTCAACCTCTCAAAGTTAACATGATTACAGTGCACTTCTCACACCTCACTGATGTCTCATCAGTTCATTTTGCAAATAGGCCTCTGATGCCCAAACTATAAAAAGTTATTGAAAACCATAACATCTTAATGGCCATCATGGCAGCACATTAGCACTGCTGCGGGAGAGTGAAATTAAATATATATAGAGAGAGACAACGAAACACAGAAGGAGAGAGAGGGGTGTTAAGGAGAGAATTAGAAAGAAATCTTATCAGACTTTTTGGCGTCGTCGTCAATGTTATCCATCTTCATTACTCACCCAATGCCCATTTACAGTGTTCAGCAGGTTGTGATTTGCTGAGTACCTACATAAACGCATGTCATCTACATAAGGTTTCATTATGTTACTTTTACTACTTCCATGCCAACCAAAGTAACATCTCTGACAATGATGGATGGGAGTGATGTGTTGAAGTCCAACTGTTTCTGATTCTGAATACTTGAATAGCAAAAAAAAGAGTAAAAAGTCGCTGGATATGGTTAGTGTTGTAGTTACAGCAAGAGCAGAGGGGAAGGGGAGACAAAAGGGCCGTCATTTCATCTTTAGAGATGAAGAAAAGCATTAGATGAAGAGATAAGTGCGAAGGAAAGAAAATAAGTACAGAACAAATTCCTATGGCCAGCTACTTCCCCTCTGAACATTACATTTTCTTGCACTGCAATCCTGATCTCTACACAACAATCAGTCAAATTTTACTTTACATGGAACAAGTTGAGTTAAATAAAGAAAGAAACTTGAGGACTTATCTGCCAATCAAAGGCACAGTAATTAGGTCCTTAAGTGTTTTATTGCAGGGGGCAATGGACCTTCACTTGAGCGCAGTGTCCAATTATGCCAGCGTATTCACGAGTACAAGGTGAATTAGAATCAGATTTTTTTTAATTGTTTTTTACACTCATACATTTTATTTATTGCCTTCAGATTAAATCAGAAATCCCCTGGTAAAAACCGAATCCTGCTGTCAAATTTACAATTAGTTCCATTCTTCCTGGACCATAGCGGTTCAAGGTATTTAGCAGACACTTGATTGTATGAAAAGGCAAAGCATTACACATCAGATTCATACACACAGGAAAAACAGCATCAGGCAAACTGCCTGACGGGTGTTTAAGTTATTTGATGCAGTGTGGGAATAAAGACATTTTCTAAATAAAATCAGTGACATCCTGGACACACTGTACCCTAAATACTGTCAGTTCTCGAGGAAGTTAATGGCATTTAATACTAGGGCAACGATCTGCTGTTCATTTCATAAGAATGGTGCTTGATCACAGCTTTGCGGTGCTTCCCTCTGCGTTCAGTGCCGATGTGCTCATTGCCTGGAACATCAAAAGTAGACAAAGGCACACAGAAGAAAGCTGGAGAGGCACCAGCAGATTGTGAGGGTCAGATGATGCTGAAATAGAACTGAAATAGTGGCAAATCATCCCTGTGTCAGGGCATTCTACTTCAATCGGATAACCTACAGTATCAAACCAACTATTGAAACCAATATGCAAATAAAAAATCCATAATCACGTGGAATATTTTCACATTTCCCATGCACTGCATACGCTATGACAAGTCAGTGCACATATTAATTTGGATGAAGTGGGATTAGATTGAAATAGGGAGAAGAAATCCATCACCCTTGACACTCGATATCATGCAAGTAGGATGACCAGATTTTAACAAATCCTAAATTGGGTCATGGGATCTTGCACGTCAGTGAGTGCACACAAATCCACACAGCACATGCAGATACAGCATATTACTGTCCACTGAAAGCCTAATAAATTATGTAGTTATATATTTGTTATGTCAATAAATAAGATTAGATTTTATGAAACTTTTTGTGGTCTATGAGATGAAAATTGGGTTATCGCAGAAGGCAGTGTTATAACCATACACCATACAAATTAAAATATGAATGATTAAAGAGGTAATGCAAATTATAATGTAAATACTCTAAATATACAAATGTGAATAACAATATCTGAAATTATTAAATTTATTCAATTATTTATTCAGTATCATAAGACAAAGTTGGAGTTTTGTTGATGTATTGAATGTATTTTTTGGGCAAATGCACCTAATTGCTTCCATTTTGAGGATTATAAGAGAAGATCAATGCCACACTCATGGATGTCCATTCAGAATATATCTAGAGTCGGTATAAGCTTAGCTTCACATAAAGAAGCATGGTAAAGAGCTAGAATGGCACTCTCCAAAGTTCAAAAATACAAAAAAAAACATCTCTGAGTCTCACAAATAAACACATTGTCTCTGGTTTAATCAGTCTGTACACAAGAATAAATATAAAGAAACGGGGAAAAAAGGAATATAAAAACAACATGTCATGGTTTTACAAAGAGTTACGTACTGGAACTATCTCTAGGCGATCAACAGTCAGACATTTTCACTTCCCAGAGTCACAGTCGTGACCATGAGGTTGCCAGGTAACCAGCAGAGATGCTGCACAGAAGTGGTGGGCGCGGACAATATGTTATTCATCAAGAAATAGCTACAGCTTGTAACTCTCCTAAAACAAGCTCTGTCTGAGTGGTCTAAGAAAGCAAGTTAAAAAAACAATGTCCAAAGTGACGTATTTCAATGCAAGTCCAGAGATGCCGATAATAAAGAAAGCCACACAGACAGAATGCACTGTTTATATTTAGACAGAAACAGCTGATAGATATTCACAGAGACACACACACATACATATTATCCTCCCTTAAGGGGTCTAAATATTTATTTGCCTAATTGTGGAGTCCACACACACACACACACACACACACACACACACACACACACACACACACACACACACACACACTGTATTTACCATTGAACTGCTGATTCATCCCATTCATTGTGGTGGCTAAAAGGATTGTTTTTATATATCTGTTGGCTATTGTTCTTTTCCCACGCAACTTGTAACACCCCCACATTGATCTAAATCCACCATTTCAAGTGTTTTTTTAACCTGGAAAAACAGCAACGAGTAGAAATTGACTTTAGGAAGTATTATAACAGTGTAAAAGCTAATCATGTCAAGCAATAAAAGTGCCTCTCAGAAGGGTATAGGCCTGAGATGGCACATGTAAAGGAGCGTCTTACCTTTGTTCTTTATCAGGGTTAAACAATGAGCCTTTCTGACAATAAGTTGAGAAATTGGTATACACAAGTACTATTTAATTTAAATAATTAATATTAATGATATTGGGTTGAATTAACATTTACAGGAAATGCCAAACAGAATATTATGCCTTAAAACATTAAATAGCAGTGACTTTTGTTTAATATAAATGTTACAGCATCCAAGTGATTCAGCTCTGTGGGCATCCTGCTCCATCTGTTTTCTTGGTAGGCTGTAGGTGGGAAGCAGCTGGCAATGGGGGATGAGTGCTCTCTGAATGCTGTCATTATCTTAAATCTAAAATAATGCAGCTCTGGCACAAGTTGTGTCTCTGGAATGAATATCGTAAAGATCTGTAGGCAATAGAAGAGAGGTATTCAGATCCTTTGTGAAAGTAAGGATTACTCTACCACAATGTAAACAATATTACATTAAAAGTACAAGTGGGCCAAATAACAACTGTTGCAATGAACACTAGAGATTGGGACAAGGATCAACGGGTATTAAATACTGTAATTATGTTTTAAAAAAAGCAGATTTCGCCTTATGTCCAGATCATGAGTTAAAATACATTTATGTAGTTACTATCCACTAAGCATGTCTGTTCCGAGTATGTGATAAACAGTCAACACATTGACTTGGTCTGAATCCCAAAGATTGCTGGAAACCCTTCAGGCTACTTGTCCCTGATTTGACCTCACAAATTTGATCCATCCAGGATCAGAGTCTTCGAGCTAAATCTGGTAAATATGGAGAGTCACTGCAGGTAACGCAACATATAGGGCTCAGTCGGTGCGGTTGGCAGTGTCCTCAGGCAGCAGCCAAGCAACCAAGCACTAAGACAGAGTGAGAAATGTGGCCGTGCATCATTTAAAGGATGGGAAAAGCGAGAAAGTATGTGAGGGTAAATGGAGAGCGAGACAGCTGCAAACACAATCAGGCACTTACACACACACACACAAACACATCCACAGAGTGACGGCAACATAGCAAACATGCTCATGGGTACAAATGCACACACATAACCCCACACAGACATGCCTAACCTTAACCTTCCCCACACTGTCTTTTTGAAGACCCTGCCAGAGGCTCTTGCTCTCAGTTCTACACCGCTGACTCCATCTTGACACAGAGAACAGAAAGTTGCCAGAAAGTAACTAGCAATTTACTCCTTGGTTAAACACTTGGAAGCCACAGTGCCCCATCACCAGCAGAAAATCCATCAGAGATAAATAAATGCTGACAAAGACAGGGGACAAGAAAGAAAGAAAAGAAGAATCCATCTAAACCTCTTTAGGCTCACACAACCTCCCTGTCTCACTCTGGGCGGTGGAAACCCCTGAGGTGTGTAATATTAAACAGCATGTTAATGCTAGAACTCTTCCCTTTGAACTTCTTTAATGCTACTAAAAGGCACAGTAGTGAGAGTTCCCTCACTTACTCACCCGACGTCCTCAAATGTTCTACCATCTCCTCTCTTTTCACCAATAAGCTCCTGTGGTATATTTTGCCGTGCTGCCCTCCCTTCATGTCGATATTTACGGGGCCACACTTCATCTTACAAAAACATAAACATAGGCTGGTGGTCAGCAAACATATTCAAACTGTGAAAAAAGATTGTACAATAAACCTTGGTAGGGCTTGTGATTATAAAAAGGTATAAAGCGTATAACTTCAGGAACTTCTGGTCCCTTGTCCTTTTGAATAAACAGCTAGTGGACATTTATTATTTGACTAGAAGAGGTTGCTTCCAAAGCCTTTCGGTGACCAACATAATATGTTTTTCTTCTGCAGAGGCCTTAATGGCCACCCACTGTAAACTGTATTTATTCAAGACCTTCTAAAGTAACACCAGCAAAAGCAATGATGTGGAACACTTAAAACAGCATTTGTCCAACCATCTTGTAGATGCAATAGGGGAAAAACAGACAAACACACTGAAAAAGAAAGAAGCTATAGAGAGAATGATTAAGCGATTCAGTGATGTCAGGGTTTTACTGCCATGTATATAATTTACTGTGTGGATGACTCAGACTGTATTCTTCAAATGATTTTCTTGCCATCTTAAACCATATTCTTTAATTAATGGTATCTACCCTCCAACATACAATTCCTAGATGCTCATTGTGTTACCTGGTTCTGAATGAAACTGTCCTTCATGCCCATCACAATGAACAGTTCAAACTACTCATGTTAAATGTGTAGTTTTTAATGAATTACTCACCCTCGTGTCAGCCAAAACAGAGATGGAAAGAACACATCATGACTTGGGTTATGAGGTGCAATATCCAACAGCTTTTTTTGGTCACTTTTGCTCTTCATGGGAACCCTGACTTCTGGCCATGTCTTTATTTGTAAAGGAAGCTGCTGAGGACCATCCTTGAGGGCGAGTAGATCATAACACAATATTTATTTGGTGAATTTCAATACTCCTTCAAATAACATTTTAAGAAGTTTTAAATAAAAGCTACCCTTTGATTTTTGCCTTGATTTTTGGGTAGGTGTGATCCAAGCTGTTTGCCATATGTTGCCTGCGGTGAGCTTGGCTGCTTAGACACAGACGCACATGATTTACAGACGGAATGGGCTGCCTCTATAGAACACCGACCACCACAGCATTGTGAAAGCATTGCTGCATCATCATTTCAAAAGTTTGATAACAAATATTGTCCAGTGTGCAATTGTGTGATCCTTAGATGGCTTGGATTTTAGAAAAAAAAATAGATTACGTGATGCAAAAAGATTGGCATTGCAGTGGCTGTTGGTCTGAATAATGGAATGGATAAAGAGAGAGCAAAGAGAGTAGAGGGCAAAAGAGAGAGAGAGAGAGAGAGAGAGAGAGAGGCACAGAGACACACAAAGGTGATTATCTCTGCTGTGTAACACAGAGGATTGGACTCAAGATGAGCCTCTCCTCTGGCACAAATGTATCTATGTTGTCAGGTGTGCCTAGACGATTACCCACCATGCTGTGCTGCTCTGTGGCAACTCCCTCAGTGGGAGTCAAGTTCTAACACAAGACCAGAGCCAGGCAAAGAATGGCAGCCTATTACTCACAGTAGAGTCCTTATGGTCCCTTCACAAAGTCTGATGGACAACGTATCCTTATCTGTTGACTCGTGGTTGGCTGCTGTTGTTATTCCTTATTGTCCATCCCTGTCTATTCATTTTGATAGAGATTGGAAAGCTAAATGCTATTATGCTGATATATACACAACATATGATGAGGGCAGTAAAGCAGAAGGCTATTCCTTCGTCATACTTTGTCAAAAATATGTATGGATATATGTTTGAAGCAGTTCACTGTCAAATAATTCAAATAATGTTATAACTTATTTCTTTCAATGTGTCTGACATTTTGATGAGCTGGCTCATTTAGCTGCTACTTGAGTAGACAGAAACTCAAAGTTTGAGGTCAACGTCTGAGGTGTGTTTCTTGATCAAATTAGAAATAACTACTCTATAGAGAAAAAAATGAATAAATCATCACTGAACCTTTTCCATGCTAAAGAAATATTCATCATTGACAGTTCTGAAACAGCTTACCAAAGTCAAGTTGATGACTTGTTTTATGTCAAAATTGGATTCTGCAAGCACCTATATACTCCTCCTTTGAGGAGAAAAACACAAAAGAACCTCCAACAATATCTTTTATCCTCGTTTATTCATTACATTTTCACACTCAACAAAATGTTCATAAGGCACTGTTCTTCTTCTTCTTCTTCTTCTCATATAGTAGAAGCAGTACATAATATGTCATATTAATATGCACTAGTCCGAGAACCAACACTACCACTGTTATCTCTGGCCTATTGCTGCCACAACTATCCCACAGAGTGTGATCCCTGCTGTGACTCACATCTCAGGTGGGCCTGACAGAGGACCCACAGGATAATCCAAACAATGCTTAAACTGGGACATAAGGATTAGTTTTGGCTCTGTAATCCCCAAAAGAGTTCCGACCACTGCTGCTGCCACCCCCGAACCCTCAAAGGCTCCTGCATTTATGTTTTGGAGGTTTTGAAGATGTTAAGTCTGCTAGTTGCTCATGGTTAATTGGATGTAATAGGTATTTTGAGTAATGAAGTTAAACTGTACTAACATTTTACCCATAAATATCTTCAAAACTTTGATTCATGACACTGTTGAGACTGATCAAACCACTATTTCACCTACTGACAAACAACCAGTTTGCTGTCAAGCAAAATCTACCACAATGCCGTAAAATGAACATGTTGTGTTATGTGTTTTCAGGATCACTACCACCGCTGCTTGTATGATGGACCTGAGAAGGTATCCACTGGATGAGCAAAACTGCACACTCGAGATAGAGAGTTGTGAGTAATTTGTCCCTTTATTCACTCATTATTTTCTTGTTTCATTTATTATTTTGTTTCTTTTCCAAGCTATAAATCTCTGGACTGCCCTACGTGTTTGTACCCTTATACACTGCCATATGCTTAGCTTTTTTTCAGTCAGCTGTCATGAGCTATGCGTGACTGGGCCAAACAATTAATGCTCTACTGTAGTGCAAGGATTTACTCAGAATTTTAATATTTTCTACATAATCCTTCCCATCCAATTTACTCTATTTCTCGGTAAAAGTAGATGCATTATTTCCTTCCTAAATACACCCTCCCCTGAGTTTGCTCTTTTACCCCCCAAAAGAACTGTATCAGTTCAGCTAATGTAGAGCTGTTTTTATTGCACACAATTTGATTCCAAGAAGAAAGATATTTTTCAACTCCACTGATGTGTCACACAGACTTTGGAAAAATTAATGGAAGGTAAAATGAATTTGAGCATCATCAAATGAACTAATGATAATAGTTCAATAAGTGCCTCTACCCTCACTGGAGCAGCAGATTATTGTGTGTAATATGTGCTGTCCGTGGTGTTGAAGTGATAAAGTAGAGCTATCGCTAATGCTTTCCAAAGCTGCAGACCAGTGTCGAATTAAAACAATATACCACAACGGACTAGGTTTTAAGGTTTGAGTGTGTCCCAGGGCCTTTGCTGTATCGCCATAAGTCTTTTTCAGTTTTCCATCAATTTGATAACAGAAAAACAACATTAAAAAGTACAGGATGTTTGTAGTTTCATTTAAAATGTTGTAATGTAAAATGGCAGGTTCACATTTCTCAAATGAATGTCTTCTTTCATTATAACTTGCTATGCTAACTGCTGCTCCAATGCAAAAAAAAATGACAAAAACTCAGAAGGGATGAAAGTATATTTTTAGTGGTGAATGTGAGGTACAAAAGGTGCCCTCACCATTCATCTACCATCATGGGCAAAGTCATATCTACTTGCTTAGATAAACTTCCTCAGACTTTGTCAAAGCAACTGGATAACTATAAATGCATCTGAAGTGTAGTTTCCATCTAGAGAGAGTTAAGCTTATTGTAATCAACTGTGCAATGTGAGCTTGGAAGCTTACAGCTGGTGCTGGTATACAAAAGGAAATAGAGCATAAAGAGCAAAGGAAGTGATTTAAGCTTCTTCTTTTTTTAAACCCAGGATTGCACAACACTGTTTAACAGTGAAGTTTAGCAGAGGCCTGATACTCACAGCAATGTGTCTGTAGGAACAGTAACTGCTTTGAGAATTTTTACAAGCCATAGTTGTTGTAAAGATTTTACTTTCCACGAAATGTCATCATAAGATCTGGTAGTTTATGTACGCTAGACTACGGATGCACACAGCTCTATATAACAAAAACGTGATGTACGCAGATAGAGACCATTTGTCCAGCAGCAGCCAGCTAAGTTCTGTGAGAGTGTGGTTACAGGAATGCAGTCAGCTAATGGACTTGAATGTGTTTTGCTTGGTGCACGATGGGCACATAAACCAACTGCATTACATATTGCAGCAAGTTCTATGATACCCATGAAAATAGTTTGTTGATATCGAATGCGGAATGAAAACACACATTATGTCCACCTTCAATTGGAAAAACTGAGAACATCTGGGCTTGAGATAGGTACAGTTGGGTTGGCAGTTACATGGCCTCCCCCTCTCCTTCAGTGATAACAGTATAGTTGGTTTCACAGCTCCTAATCAAACAAAAACTTTCCATGAAAAATACAACTTCATGGGACATTATGTAGGGGAAAAAAACATAGCAACTCATTTTCTGATTCTCACATTTAGAAACACCATTGCTGGACATAAGGTCACAGACCAGGGCACAATTAGGAGAGTATTGTAGCAGCAGTAGTGTATTTATGCTGCTGTTGAGAGGATGACCTTCATGCCGACATGGACACAACAATGCTTGCTTGTCATCGATAGTTTCACTTGCCAAAAGGCACATCGAGCAAAAACGCCTTAATCAAACTTAATTGGGATCCTGGTATGCCTTTGGTAAGATAGCGAAGAGCTTGCAAATTGTACCTCTACTGTGCAGTGTCCATTTAAACTACTTGTTTGACCATGGTTCAGTGAATTATGGGAGGCAAGTGAGGGGGAGACAGAGACGGACATTTGCTGTTTACTAATGAGTGTGCCTCACAACACGGCTAGTCATCAGAACCCCGAGCAGGCATCCTTCTCTTTTAATTTGGTGACAGGCTTTGAGTTTAAAACACACTGGCTTGGGACATCCAAGACATGTTATGCTGACCGTGGTTTGATTAACATTTTAACTACGCAATAACAAGCTGTTTCAGTATGGTGATTCCTGTATCAGCACGGGTATTTTGTGCAAACAGGGAAATCATATTGTTTCAATTCTACAAGAAAGTTGATTAAACTATTATCATTATTTAGTTACCTCACACAAAATAAAATCTAAATAGAGAATGAATAATTTTCAAATCTTTCTTTGTTCCAAACTTAGATAGTTCTATCACTTGTTGAATAAAGGATAGATCAATAAATATTACACGTCTGAGGCCACACTCGATATTACAGCTGCAGTGAGCCTGGACATAACAGCATCAAATATATTTGTCTGCGGGCAGAGTTTACATTGTAAACTGCACCATTCAATAAATTTAAACTTCAGAACTTTCTAATCATTTCCACACTAGAACCAAGGCCGTCATTTTGACCATTTTTTTATTTTTTATTTTGGAATGTGATAACTTTGTTAAAATGAAATCCATTCAGCTATAGGATCCTGACGTTTCCTTAATGTGTGTATATTTTATTCTAACATTGTCATCTAATTTAAATTACAAAAGAGTTTTGAGTATTTATACCTTGAATTGCCATAAGGGTCATATTGACCGCATACATTAACAGTGTTTCTAGGTAATTACCGACCCCGGGGAAGAGAGAGAGAGATGTGCAATATGGACTGAAGTGTCGGTGTGATACTAAAACATTCTTTTGATCATAAAGCCCAATGTTCTGCTGAAATGATCTGGTTTGTCTGTGAAGTTTATGAACTACACTGCAGACTGGAGTCTCTGAACGGGCTACGCGGGTTGAATGCGCATCAGCAGCAGCTTTGACTGACAGAGGTACGGTAGCCTTCAGTGTTGATAGGCTATTACTTTTGACGTGTAATTAATCAAATAGTGCTGTGGGCGGGTCATTGAGCAGGGCGACACAGTGGTGACTACAGACATTACCAATTTCTGACATTACAGATCCAGTTGTTCTTAGATTTTACAGTGATTATTGAAATACAATGCTGATAAGGTATGAATGGTCAGAATGACCATTATGGCCATTCTAGTTGTTGTAGAATTAGTATTTAAAATCAAGAATTATTTACATCCTTGCATTTTCAGTGTTCTTCTTCCCTGTTTTTGTTGGCTGAATGCTGCATAAGCTCTTCAGTGAAAGGTTTCAGGATATGGCCAAAACTGTAACACCGCAAAGATGACTATAACACAGGACGTGGTCAATTCTTAAAGAAAAAGTGTACCGCTAGTTTAAGACATTTCTCTTTGTTCTCATAGTTTTATTCCAAGTTTATTATCCAGGCAGATCTTTGATACAGTTTGTTAACTCTTGCTCATAACTCATGCAAATCTATAAAAAAAAAAGGCCATTACTTAAATACCACACTACCTCAACCTCTCGTTCGGCAGTATTATAAAAGGGTTGGGTTTATAACCTGGCAAACCAAGGCCTGTCATCCTGCATTTGTTTTGTTACTACTTCCCCAGCATCTCTATAATGCATGTCATCCAGGACTTCAACTAGCGTAGTAGGCCAGGCAAGGTTTCCCCTCAGTGCAAGGAAATACCATTTCACTCATTATTTAAAAGGGTTAAACCTCCTGATGTTCTGGGTCACTGTTACAGTAATGCAGTGTACAGAGTACAGTATATACGCTGCTGTACAGTAACCCTTCCTTCACAGGAAGCTGATTCTAGTTAAAGATGTAACATTGACTTTTATGCAGCTTTTGAATCAATCGTACTAAAAGCAGGGTCACTAAGTTGTTAAACACTGAATGCTACGCAGAAGCATTTTTGCCCTGATAAGCTGCTTTAGCTTTAGCGTAAGTGTGACTGCAGATGCCTCATTAGGAGACAGAAAAATGTGGAATCTAAGTTCTTTGGCAATGAATTAAGAGAGAACACAAATGTAGGCAAACTTGCAGCCACCAATACAATACATTCATCACACATGCAAGCACAAACAGACAAAGACGTCCCTGTTTATTTTTTTTTAATACACAGAGGGGAGTGAGAGGCACATTATAATTCTTATTTTACACAGTTGCTGTGCACTCACAATGAAACTATCATTTCATTACAGCATTTCTACCAAGTAATAGTTATATTTTCTGCACCAGCGATCCACATCATATGGCCAGAGCCACTTCCACAGTTTATCTCTCTCTGGCTATCCTTGCCCATCAGAGCTCATTTTTAGAAACTGCAAAGATCCTGTGGGGTGTGAATGGTTTTCTACACTTGGGCTTACATGGCTTATTTATTTATCTTATCTTTAGATGTTCTGTCTCTGTCCAGGCACGCAGTCAGCTGCAGCTTGCTGTGTACTGCAAAAGTTTCCAAGACATTTTTAATTGGACACCAGGAAAAACATTAAAGTCGCTTTGAACTGTGTGGAATCAAAGATTCATCTGAGACATATTTAAGCATGGAGTCGCCTGCTCAGCTCACAGGAAAGAGCGAGAGGCAGGCAGTTGTTCAGGGGGTTTGAGTTGAACCTTGTGCCCGTGTGTGACGATGTCTTTGTGGGTCCAAGCAAGCCTGTGTGTCTCTATGTGTTCATGAACGCTGGCCCATATCTGTGGACATGCACCACAAATCTTTGTCTAATAATATGCATTAAGTTGACATGCATTCCTATGAAAACTGTGGAAAACGCCAGATTTTCCAAAACATACATGGTAAATGCTGCAGTTTTGGTTCGGTTGGACAGTTTAGTACAATTTTCATGGGACACATCAAAGGTTTCAGCATTTACACACACACTCCCTCAGACTCCCTTGGTGCTTATTGGAATTATTATATATTTTTTTAAGGGGCTGTTCTCCAGCAAGGCTTGTAAACACTGTAATCTTAAAAAGCCATTATCAAAGATGTGAAGAAAATTAGATAAAACTGACTTTTGTGATTGTTGTTAGTGCCTCTGTGTGGCCTTTAAAATGTATGTCAAAGACGTGTTAATACATACTAGAAAACACAACAATAAAAACTAAAAGTTTTATTACAGGGATATGATGTTAAATAGCACCAGTTAGAAGTAAAACAAAAACTGTTGTTGTCATTAATTGTGTTGGCCAGAGCAATACCAAAGTCAGTGTTTTATCACCTTTCAAAATCCGTCTTTGCCCATTAAAACAAATCAACGGAGACATTATGTCATAAGCTTGATAAAAAGGCCTGGAGTCAGACTTGGTCAGGGAGATATGACAGTGTCCCAGTTAAATAGCTTTAGTATTGTATTGCTATCTCCTCTGATGCTATCGTGAACAATTTCATTCATTTTTGGCCTGTCAACGCTCCCAAACTTTGGAATCCACGAGAGAAGCCTTTGTGCTATCGTAAAACATATTGTCACACCCATAGGGTTTTATTTATTTTTTTAATGAGGGATGATCTTGCCTCTTGTGCCACTGAGAAATCAGGAAGCTAATTTCCATCTTTTTTATTTCATTGTTTAATAGTTTACATACCGTATATACAGTACACTAACTCCTTCTTGTCTGTCATGTATTTCAGGTCATGTCTCTTTTTTCTCACCCTCACTCATTTCAGTCAATTTCATTCAATGGGAATCAGGATAATCTATCTGTGGCAAATACTGTGACGTAATCATTTATTACGAAAGCGAGGTGATGCAAAACTGCATCGTCAGCCTCAATTACGTAGACACAGTGGAGTTAAGTGGATTAGGTCACTGTAGGCCATTTCACATTATTGACTCAAATGTTTGCACAAAGCCATTCTTACTGAAAACGTGTATACACAGGATTGTATACTGAAGCTAGCTGCCCCTGGAGAAGGTGGAATATGTGCATAACACCCCATGATACAAAAATGTTGGATTGAATAGTATATTGACAAATTTGCTCTTCAATGCTTTGATTAAATTGCTTCTCCTGAGGGGCCTGAGGAAAGGCCATAATACGATTAGTATCAAAAGGTTTTATCCCGTTGGAACTGAGCATGTGCATTACAATCTACCTGCTCTATCTTGAGATCATTGGAAGAGCTGACATTTCTGCGCAAGGTGGTGCAAAGCAGAAACGGTTCATCCTCGAGAGAGAATGATTGTTGTAAAAGTCAATCTCCCTTAGATATTGATACACCCTGTGTTTGGCCCAGGGCCTAACGCAAGAGCAGAAATCAGGGGGTCATCAATAAAATAAGCTCTCATCATTTAGGGCCAATCCTCTGGGAATGAACAAATTCACTCAAATTTAAAACTCAAGTAGAGGAGGGCGTTCAGTCGCGATTTTATCACTTAACAAATGTATCCAAAATTAAGTTATTTCTGTCTGCCCTGGGCCTGACCTGCCTTTATTTCATCCCATGTCAACTAATAAAATTGCCTTCTGCTCTGCACTTAGTTGAGAAGCACTAGATGGTCTTCAAGTTGTTTCAAAATGCAGCTGCCAGGCTTTTTACTGGAACTGAGAGGATAGAACACATTCAACTCATTTTCCCATCCCCCCCTTTGGCTACTTAATTCCTTTGGAACATATTTTGAGTATTTATTGATTACCTCTTATGTGAGGTAAAGATGATAATGTACATGAATGTTTTGCAAATATATAGTTTTTTAGAGTATATCTGAACGTGGTGAGCATCCAGTTCCACTTTCCTCAAGGGGACCAAGAGATGTCAGAGTGTGAGGGCGTTGAAAGCAGCCACTGAGGACTCTGTGTTAATAATTCAGAGCAACTAAATAGGTCACACAAGTATTAATTACTCAGAACAGGGTATGGCGGAAGGAGATGAAGAGGGAAGGTAGAGTGAAAGATCTACGGACACATAATAGTAGTTATGACAGAAAAATAACAAAGGAGTGAGGGAGAGCAGTGTAATCAACTGAAAAAAATAGTGGAAGAATGTAGATTAAAAACAGAACAAGTAAGAGAAGAAGAGTGTTTGAGAAAAGGAGAGACCAGAGGAGGAAGACAAGAGGAGGTGTGGTCCATATTATGAGCACCAATCAATGAAACAGCATGAAAGTTGCTTCTAAAGTGTTCTTTCAAATGTGCTTTCCTTCGTCATCCAGCCAGGGCCTGTCAT